GTTTAGGGTTTAGGGGTTTAGCCCCTAATTCCTACACTCTCCTTCAATGATGCTTCAGTTTGTCGAAGGGTACATAGAATGATCTGCGGCACACTTTTTGAATCTTGGGCTCTCAACGAATTCATGCCGGGGCTTTTGGGAATCCCTGAAAAACTTGAAGGCCTAAAGCCTCAAAAGCCATGCGCCCCAAAGGCCCTCAACCCTCCATCACCTAAACCCCATGCCTGGAAGCCCTAAACCCTAAAGCCACAAACCCCAAAGCCCCAACCCTCGAAGCCCTAAACCCCAGAGGCCGCAAACCTCTGCCACAAGCGGGAGGGAGAGCAGGACCTAAACCCTAAACCCTAAACCCTAAAATCCGAAACCCCAAAAAACCCTGAAGCCCCAAACCCCAAAGTCCGAAACTAGGCCTCCGCAATCTCCAAGTGCTGGAGGAATAGGAAGGCCAGAGCGATGGCTCGGTAAGCGGAGCCCATCTTCGAGGACAAAGCCCTGCCTCAGCCGCCTTTGGGGCAACGGAAGCTCGAGCCGCAAAGGCCATGGGAAGGAAAGTCCTCGTGGAACTAGGGTTTAGGGGTTTAGGGTTTAGGGTTTAGGGTTTAAGGTTTAAGGTTTAGGGTTTAGGGCTCTTTTTGGAACCCCTAGACCCTTAAACCCTTAACTAAATTCCTCAAGCCGGACACCCTAAATTCCATTCAAAGGCCTCCACAGGTGGGATCAAGTAGGTAGGTGGGGATGACCCACAACTCAGAGCCCTCACATAACTTATTTGCCCAGTATCCTAGGGGAACTAAGGGTTAACCTGTCAGATTCCGCTAGGGGTGAGTACCCCAAAAAGTTAAAGCTTGCCTCGTACTACTACTACTACTACTACTACTACTACTACTACCAGTACTAGGACAAGGGATTCCAAGGATGTAGCACCCTCAGAACTTTCATCTCCTAAAATCACCGCAGTAAGGACACCATACTTGTACCTATCTATCTATACCTATCTATCTACTTACCTACCTGTCTATAGATCTGTCGATCTGGCGACTATGGTGGGTTTAGTTACGTTCCTCCTTGCACCCCAAAACTATGGTGGAAGCCCTAAACCCTAAACCCTAAACCCTAAACCCTAAACCCTAAACCCAAAGACTCGTGACTAAACTCGATTCCTTGAGTCCCGGACCCTTGCAACCGAAGATCGGCTTCAGAGGAACCCTACAGGGCTCCGTTAAGGGCTCTTTTAGGGTTTAGGGTTTAGGGTTTAGGGTTTAGGGTTTAGGGTTTAGGGTTTAGATAGAATCCGGACCACCTCCACCGTTCTAAACCCCTTCGAAAGATCATCAACCCATTATGTACGACCCTGCCTTCGAGTAGATGTCCATGATGGCAGGATGAGAGCGAAACGACTCGGTGAGGAAGAAGAGGCCTCTGCGCTGGGTCATGGGCCCTAAACCCTAAACCCGCCTATGCGCCATTCTACAGCAAACCCTAAACCCTAAACCCTAAACTGTTTGGGGCTTTAGGCTTTGGGAGTTTATGGGGTGCTTTTGGGACTCTTGAGGCTTGGTTCAGAGGGCCTGAATAATCACCCAGACTATTTTGGGGGGTTCCTTCTTGTTGTAGTTAAGGCATAATATACCCCAAGACCCTATTCTAATTATCAAGGCCCAAGAATTAGGGCTTAGAGCCTTGCATTTTGGGATTGGAGGTTCGGGGGCTTCGGTGCTGTGTCGGTCTTGGGTTCTGGGAATTAGGGTTTGGGCCTGGGAGGACGTCGATGGGTGTGCGAAGCAGCGCTTCCTGAGACTGGTTTAGGTTAGTGTAGGGTTGAGAAGGTTTGAGGTCGCCGTGACGGTTGAAGGTATAGGTTTTTAGGGTTTGGGGGCCTAAGCTTCAGGGGTTTAGGGTTACAGGCTATAGGGCTCAAGGGTTCACCGCTAAGTCGAGGTTCTCGGGTGTAGGCTATGATGCTTTCTGACACCGTATCAGGCTACATGCCGCATCAGCGCTTACGGCGCGATCCCTGACTTGCTGCGGATCGCCCCAAACCCCAAACAGGCCGAACTCCGAAAACTGTGGCAGATTCCGGCACCCTTGCCGCAATAAACCCGCCTTGAACCCAAACCTGAAAAACAACACGCAAAGGGTTTTGGGTTTAGGGTTTAGGGTTTAGGGGAAACCGAAAAAGGAAACCCTAAATCAAACAGCCGCAAAGCCATGGACTGCATGCTCCGCGCGCACACCTCGACCCTCGCAGGCGGCAAGGGCATCGCGGCTGAGCGGATCATTGGCCGTCCCTGACAAACGAAACCAGTTGCTGGAGCCGAACTTAAGTCAGAGTCGGTTTTGGGCTTAAAGGCTTCAGGTTTAGGGTTTAGAGTTTAGGGTTCAAGGTTTAGGGTTTTTGCGGGGTTAAACCCTGAACCCTACAACCCTTGAACTGAGAGAGCCCAACTGGGCTTTGAAGTAACCAGGGAGAAAAAAGTATAGACTCTTAGTTCATAATGGTTCCCTTAAGGA